CATTCTTTTGTGACAAAATGTGTCGTTAAAGGAATGTTTTTTGTCACAAAGTTTATGCTACTAGTTGGTTGTGTCATCAATGACCCCCTTGATTTATACTTAAGAAGATTATGTACCTTTAGACTTTTTGGTGCATAAAATATATACACTGCAAGATAAGTTATTTCAATTAGACATCCAAAGCCATTAATGCTAACGATCATGTATGCATTCGTCTTGAGAAAAGCATAGTACAACAACAATGCTGCACTAAAAAGAGCAACCATGTATGGTATAGCTTGATATCCTTCTGATGATTTTTTTCGATAGATTGTATAGAATGTTGGCCTATATAAATAAAATATTTAAGAAAACATCAATAAATAACAAAGAAATTATAATTATATCATTGGTTTATGATTAAGTTTGAGTTTCAAACTTACAGTGGGGCCAAGAAAACCATGAAGGCGATGATATTACCTACATAAACCCAATAAGAAATCTTAAAATAAGATGTGACTAGCATAATTGATATTAAATATAATATCACCATAAAAGTGACATGGTGTTATATGTAATCATTTGAAAATTAAACATTTTTAATCGAGTTGATTGAGGTTCGAATTCCACAGGCTTTAACCTTAAGACAACTCGACTTTATACAAAAAAACTATTGAGAATATATCTTTGAAATTGCGACAGGACAAGTCGTCACTACATATATTTTTCCATGATGCCTTTTTCCTCTTAAAGTTACATGTTTTGTTAAATTTTTATGTACTTATAAACTACACATGTAACTTAGGTTATGCATCATAAAATCAATACCTAAGAGGCCGAAGACGAAAGCCAAGATGCGAGCATTCAAGAAGGGCAACATATCGTCTAATGTCTTAGGTAGACTCAATCTCAATGCTTTTATTAATGTTTAAGCTTGAGGGCGAGTGAGTTGAAATCTTAATACAAAGTTGCTATATATACTCAAATTTTGGTAGGCGGAGCTAATGCTTTATCAATTCGTAACTTGAACAGTTTCGGAGATTCGGTAGCCACAAAAGTATTAGTGAATTTAGATGCATTTAGGGTTAGCAATATATGGGGTTGGGGAGAATTGTCATTGGGGTGTTTTGTGAAGACATAATTAGGGGAGTTTACATGTAAATGTATTACTAAAAGATATATAGTCTCATGTGTTGTCTCTAAAAAAATGCCAAATAAATTACAAGGCAGACAATTTTCCTACATAAATGTCTATCGTCGTTAGAAATATAGTGATGGAAGTATTGGCACTTAAATTTGTGATATACATTCATAAGATTCCATCAATATAGAAGGAAAGGGATTAGGTTTTCATAATTGTAATGATTTTCAAATATAAAAGATTATTATTAAATATTAAAAAAATGATTTGCACGAATGATATTTTGAAAGTTTATAAAAAATAAATATTATATTTAGAAATTAAGTTACCAAATACGATATTTTGATGTTTAATAAAGCAAATACGAAAATCTCTCATTTTGTTTACTTAAGCTCATTTTTTACTTAATGAGGTCAACACTTAATCTTTTAGGTATAGAAATGAGGTATTCTTCGTTAAGTCCCCAAATATGCATTGATTTCTTATATATTTTTGAAACATAGAATATGTATATGTTGCGGGTATGTTCAATAAAAAGCTTGTAAGTTTTGAGTTTTAGAACAAAAAAAAAATCGAATTAAAGAAAGAGTTTTGTTTATTAGTACGAACTTAAAACTGTTATTTTAAAGAAAAAAAATTATAATCTAAAAACTATTTCAAATCATTTTTGAAAGCTTATATAAGCTTTAAGCTTTTAAGTATTGTGTTTTGTATCATTTTTACAATTTTCAAAAACTTTAAATAGGGTTTGTCAAATATTTATATACAAATAAAAGTTACATTTTCCATATATTTAAACTTTCAAGTTTGAAGGTTCAAACTTCCTTCTTCTCGCTTCTAGCTAGTTCTGTCAAACATAACATTCACCATCGTTTCTGTAAACACGTAAAACTAACAATTGTATGTCATATTTACAAGTTGTTGAAAACAGTTCGAACTTATAAGTGTATGGAAATATTATAAACTCTATTATCATAAGTGTTTAAAATATCATACTTAAACACATAAAAAAAATAAAAAAAAATGGAACTTTGTGATCTAGTCAATATTCTCTATTTAAATGTGTGGAGATTTGGACAACTAATTAATGCTTTTGCCTTTTAAGTTTTAAGGTTAGAAATTTGACAATTTTCTCCAGAATTTGAAGCATAAAGGTTTAAAAACAATTGATCAAGACACATTCACAGTTGTAGGCACCATACATTGTGTGTATGTGTGTCTGTATGTATGTAAAAGTAACATTATGAAAAATGGGAATGAAGACACATTTGGGTTTACCATACATTGTTTAAATTGGGCACATACGTGTTGGGTAGGTTACAATTTTATAGTTGTCTCTATTGCATGCTTTTTTGCAACATCTCAAATATTTGTTTTTTAATAACATTGTGTTTCTTTTATTTTTCATATTAAAACTTTATTGTCCATCTAAATCTAACATTCAAAATCCTTCCAAAGAAACCTTGTGTTTATGATACATACTTATTAAAAGATGATGTCTGAAAAAGCTTAAAAAAATAAGTTTTTTTAGCTTATTACTGGTTATACACGGGTATAAGTTAATAAATGTTTGGATATGTATTTTTTAGAAATAGTTTATAGTTGTCACACACCTCTAATAAATAATTTTCGATAAGTTACTCTCAAAACTTATAAGAAAAACTTCTTTATAATTTGTAGTTGTCTCACACCTTTAGAAAGGTTTTTTTTTTTGGTCATTTTGTCAAATCCCAAAAAAAATGTTTATCAACTTATAGCGTTTTGATACCACATAAGTTAATCCATACATAAAAAAAATAAAAAAAATAAAAAAATAAAAAAAAACTTCATTTCCGTGCCGATATAAGCTAATAAACCGATAAGTTAAAAAGTCTTTATCATTTTAAATACTACGAAACACCCTCTAAATAGAATGACACAGCATGGTCGATTGTTGTAATTTTGTAATACATTTATGCTCATTATTGGAAAATTTCGGTTTAAGTTACTCTAAATAAGTTGTAATTTGTATTTGTCTCATTTGAAGTATGGTCACATTAAACTTCTCAATGTGTGCTTTGTAAATGAGCTTGATGTTATGAGTGTAACACCAGTGCAATTCACATGTTACATGGCACTGTAACGAAGACACATGGACATATGTAGGTTAACATGATTTGAAAATAAAAGCTTACGTTTTTCAATTATCAGATTTCAACTTCCAACTACTAGATAGTTTTGTCAAACATGTCCTAGGTTAAAAAAACAAAGGCCACATACCGGGAGGTTGTCAGTTGTAGTGTCACTCGTGTGTAGTGAGATATTTACTAATTGGTCGATTCAATGATGTGATTAAATACCTAATTTGGCATGTCACATTATATTTTTTAGGGTTAGGCTTGTCATGTCAGAATCAATATTTTAGGGTTTGGCGACAAACAACAAATTATTTTACATACAAACTTTTTTTTAAAGAAGGTTACAATTTTGATCTTCATTATTGTCATATGATTCTTTTAATTCAATAAAATTTTGTATGCAAATGATTATGAATGGCGGTTTTCGATATGATTGTTCTTGATCATATTTTTTGTTATGTAATAGAAACCAACTTAAGCTCAATCAGGTTAGTTGGTTTAAAAACCGGAATTTAAGTATTTTTCTTTTTGTAACGTATATGTTTTATTAATCTAATACAATTCTACCATTTAAAAAAAATAGCCATATCACCACCCTAAAATCAACACCAATTTGACCATTACTATTTAGGACTTGTTTATTGATAACATTTTTCCATCTCTCATGAAAAAAATGATCCATCTTTTGTGTGTTTTTCAAGATTGCAACGTATTAAGTGGTAGCTTTTTTGTTTTGATGGGGAAAATATAAAAAACCAAACACAAAGTTTCATGAATAATGCTCATGGCATTGATTTGGATACATAAAGTTTATTTATTTACTTTTCTAAATATTAATAGTTTTTATAATTAAATCAAAGACAGTTAATTTTAGTTTTAATTTTTTTTTCCTAATTCACTCCTAAAACTTTGGTTTTGAATTTTTAAGTTGTGGGGAAATATGTATGTTGATATTGTCTTTTAATTACCTTCTTTTCTATAGTAAACTGTTAAACGTGTTCATTTTGGTCGTAAAGTTATTTTAATGTTTTGGAATTACTTGTAACAAGTTTGATATATTACGATTTGCAAAAGTTGCACTGTTGCACCTAAGTGATGCATGTTTTATATACATATTGTTTTTATGTTAATTACACATTTCACATATTTGGTAACATAAAAACTTTAAACCGAAACCAAAGAAACCCCCAAAACTAAACCAAAAAAGACGTATGCAAAGACCACGAGACCGTGTAAAACCAGACCGTTCCGAAACCGATCCAAAACCAGGACCGTCAGCATGCATCTCTAACATGTACCTCTAATGGCAGTACAATGTCACTAATCTTTCAACTGTGTTATATCAACTTCACTAATATTTCAACTGTGTTATATCAACTTTACAGTTGGCCTTTACTTCAGTGTAATGTTACTTTTCTTTCAAAAGTTGTCCTAGCTGACACATCAACAATCATTTTAAATTTTATTTAACAAATATTTTTATCATTTTTATTTAGTATATATTAATCTAAAGATTTAAAATATTTATTAAATTATAATTTTATTAATAACTAACTATTAAATTATATCATATATAATCACTCACGTAATCTAGAAAGTGGAGTAATAAACTCAGTTGCAAGGCTTTCACTCTGAAAGATCAAATATCAAATCTGACGTGGCTTGTAAACAACAACTGCAGATCAAGTTGAAAGACCGATGTGGAGGCTCTAAGGCTCTAATCAACAACACAATAACTCATTGTAAAAATCACAAGTTATCATGTCATCCATCTGAATCTATTGCAAATTTTCCACATCACAAAATATCACCCAAAATCAACATCAATAAGACTTTTTAACAACAAACCATCATAACAACACCTTATAACCCAACCAAAATATTAACATCTCTTCTCTTCTCTAATAAACCAATAAACGATCAAAGTCTTTTACTTTTTCTAATTGTTAATTGGCTCGGCTTTTGAACACATCAAGATCCATCTCTGTTGGATCAGTTGCTTGAAGCTCCACTTGAATCCCATCAAGTTCCCTCTTGAATCTGTCCTTTGAGCTTGCATAAATCATCTTGCTCCTCACCCTCGCAGTATCGGGAGACCTTTACAATTTACATATATATACATTTTTTTTATAAAATTAGTATTATGATTATAAAAAGTATTTAAAATCTTACCATGCAATGAAAAAGATCCTGCTTTTTTGGCAATTCTCTTGAGTGACAAAGTCATAGTCAAAAACAGCATATCGACACTCGGAATCAGGAAGGCAAGCAGCAAAATCTTCATGCCTTTGAGTTGGATCACCAACTTTTTCCACAATTACTTGTTTTTGTTTTTCCTCAATCTTGAAAACAATGAATCGAAAGCTTCTTTTTGCTTTCAGCTCCAAGAATTTCAGCTTGCATTCATTATGCACTGCCATTCCAGACGCCGCGTTTGCCTACATACATTGTAACATTTTATCTACATGTAAGGAGGGTATTTTGGTCATCTTAATAAGTGTAACACAATAACAAGCGATTATTTTTTTCCTATAAACAAATCGATATATAAGGACCTTACTTTGAAAACTATTATTCAAGCATATGATATCAAGTTTAAGTTACTTACCAATACTATAAAAACCTATCACCATTGAACAAATCTTGAGATTAAAATGATGAAATAAGTCATGTAGCAATGAAGTGAAAATACCAAAAACCAGAGCAAAAACAGAAGAAAAATAATCACGGATGAGATAGAAAAGAAGTCATTTTAATTTTTTAATCTTGTTGCACTATCAAATAAGAGTATGTGTCATTGTATATTCATGGATTAGACCTTACTCCTTAGAGTTCAAAAAAAAAAAAAACAAGAACGATTTCATACATTTGGTTTTGCATCATGTATCTGAGTTGATGTCACCTAATGACAAGTACAATATGATAGATACATTTTCGATCCAGACCATCTTCCTGAATCAACTACAAAATAAATTGTAACCAGAAATAATAGTTCCAACTTCCAAACACTTGTCTTAACAGGTAAAAGAGAGATGGATTTTAAGTTTTGAACCCACAGTTGCCACCTAAAGCCAACTATTATTCGTCCTAGTTAATCCCTAAAACTAATTCGCCAACATTTAACTGGACCAATTGATAAACAAAGTTTACACAAAGGCTACAAGATCGAGAGCTCTCAATCATGAAAGTTCTACAGAATCAGATCCGGAGACTCAAAAGGCACCAACTCGGAAGCAAATCCAGGTACAATTACAACGCTAGGGTTTCAAATACACCAAACGGAAATAGATTACATATCAAATATCAACGATCAAACACCAAAGTACTACGCAACTCAAACATATACACGCATGCAAAAAGCTAATAAGTTACAAACCAGTCCACGAATAAACAATGAAAATTAAATAATATACACAGATGGGAATAAGTAACAACTATAGATGAATGTGTTTCGTGGACTAACCATTGCCGCAGGGGATTGATCGGAGAAGATTGAGATGGTAATCAAACGGAATCGTAGTCCGTAGAGAGTAGATTTAGGGGAAAATAGATATATGAATGATTTCTAGAGAGATAAAGTTTGAGGCAAATGAGAAGGGAAAATGATTTAAAAATTTAATAAAGTTTTAGAAATATTATTTTTTTTAGTGTAAAAAATACCTTTAAATTGAAATTTTTGTACAAAAAACACCAACCAAGTACGGATAGAGGCTTGTGGTACAGTTAGCTCAGGTAAAATAATGGTTTGGTTATTTAATAGATATTTACTCCTTCAACAACCAAATTAGGGTTCTTCATCTTCATCAACACCCCTCCCTCCTGCAACGACTCCTATGACATCTTCATTTTCATCAACATTTTCGAAATCAAATTCACGCATTTCAAAGAGTAAGAGTACAATTTATTATGCTAACTCTTGTCATTGTGAGAAGCCTTCCGTAATTTGGACCTCAACTATGAGGGATAATCTGGGTAAAAAGTTTAGGTGTTGTCGTAACACAATGGTAAATGAATCTCATATATTTATCATCTACTTCTTCTACATAGATTTATGATGTAAATTTTATTATGTATATGAATGAATCCAATAAGAAAAAATGTGATTTCTAGGAATGGATCGATGAAGATGAAGAACCAATAACACGGGATACTACTGAAGTGAAGATATCAATATTGGAAATAATTTCTAGACTCGCAAGGTGAAGGCATATCAGGAATCAATGAGTTTTAGAAAGGAATTTGATACGTTAAGTAGGAAATATTGGAATCTCAAATGTTATATGTTGTTGTTTTTTGTTATGTTTGTATTGTATGTTATTCTAAATAAAGTGTACAATTTGGTGATGTACTTTGAAAGATGTAATGAGATGACTTTGGTAATGTAGTTTAAAAGTTGGGTTAATTTAATGACTTATATTCGAATGGAATTAGTGTTTTATAGAATGGAAAAATAGTTTTGATAATGGAATGGAATCAATGATTCCTGGATAAAATTAAGTGTTTATATTGGGATGGAATCAATGATTCATGGATAAAATTGAGTGTTCACATTGGAATTTAATTAATAATGCCGGAAATACTTGAGTTTTCATCTAAACTAGATGGAATTAGATGCGCCTTTGGCGCTGGGTTACTTTTTTTTTTTTGTTATTTGAAGGTGTATTAAATAACAAACCGTTGGCAGTTCTTCAATGACTTTACATGCTGCAATCCTTCACTTGTTACTTGAAAAGTTTATTGGGATGCAATTTGGACTAAAATAGGTACTAACTTTCATCAAAATCTATCATAAGTTTTATGAAATTTATTCACATCAATGTTTTTTCACTGCTTGAATGTCACAGAAACCAAGGGCCAATCTATAACCATTGATGCACACCTGCAATATCAAAAAACACACATACACAAACAATTACAAACTCAGTTCAGAACAGACACACATACACATACATATAAATAAAAAAATATCAAAATATAAATAGAAACAAAGTCAAAGATAGTAGCATGTGGTGGATTTTACTGGAATTCAACATTCCATTTCAACTTAATTGTCTCCAAATTAGAATTCAATGTCAGCCGCAAATAATAAAAAAAAAAAAAAACAAGTAAATAACTAAAATCAGGGTTCAGGATTCATATTTGTGCTATTTTCCGGTTTTGAAAGCAAGAAACAATTGAAAAGTATAATGCTATTATGGGAAAATACTACCATAACTATTGTTGTCTCCCTCTTAGTACTTCTAAAAACTCCTACATATCTTTTACTTGAAAATATATGCACAGAAAAATTATGAATTACTTTTTAATTATTTGAGTAATTGTACTACACAAAAATAAAAATAATACATTTTTTGTGAAGGGGTAGTGTTTTAGATGTGGAAATTGTTTCACAATCTTCTAATATTTTACAAAAAGTTTACCAACACAATTCAGTTCCTGTAGGGTGAATGTTGTCATCTTTGCAGAGTGGAAAAAAGTAAAAAAAAAAATTTGTCATGTGAATGGATTGAGTGGATTGTCATTACCGTAGGCATGTTTTTGAGTCCTACAACACATCCTTATAGAAAGATTAAGGCCATAGGTGTGTACCAGGAGAGACGCCCTTCCAGAAAATGACACACATCCTAATAGAAAAGTCAAGAATTAGTAATTAAACATTCATTGTCTCATAGACCATGTTGAATTTTTTTGCAGTTAATATAAATAAAACTATGATTCAGTTTATTGATTTCATGAAAAGGTTAAAAATCTTACATTAAACAATAAGTAACCCCAAAATTAATCATAGGCTGGATAAAAAATCTGAATAAAAATTCAAAAACCTGGTTGAAGCATTCTGTCAAACAGTTAGTGTGCATCATAAAACTTACTTTCAAATCTCAAGAGCAAGTGTGTGAATATAACTGAATTGCATTTTTGGAGTATAATGGAGGCAACATCCCAGGAACACATCATTGAACACAAGCAACCATAATGACATTGGATGTTCTAGTTGTTATGTCACACCCCAAAACCGAGAACGGCGGAAACGTTCTGGGGCGGAGGACGTCATGTATAGTATCACAACAATGCAAAGTAGTAAACAAGCAACAACATCATCCATTGCATTAATGGTATAATTTTACTTACAAGTGTGTTCTTTCATAGTATAAAACAACATAATGAATACTCAAAATAAAAGACGAGTCTTGACTGCTCCGTCTTCACAAAAACCTGGTCGTCGTACCTGTCTATTTGTGACCTGAGAATACAAGTTTATTTTCAAAGCGAGTATCAGCAATAAAGTTGGTGAGTTCATAAGTATTTAATGTTAATGTTTGTATAAATCTGAATGAAATTGTTTGTATATGTTTGAAAACTCCTAGAAAATCCTATATTTCCTACTAGTATAAAAGTAGTCTTCTGTCAAGACCCAACTGATTTGAATGTTTGCTTTTAGAAATCCAATGTTTTTTCATATATATGTGTTAGTTTAAAAGTTCCAAAACTGGATTGCAAAAGTGTTTTTCATGCCTAGAATAGTAGATTTATGTATGTAGAAAATCACTGAGGCATTTGATAACCCCGTAAATCAACGTGTTTTTAATACTCCATGTGAGTTTTATAACCATGTTATTGACCCAGACTGCCTGTAACAACGTTCTTCAGGCGTTGGAATGTTATGACGATTGTCACCCCAGACTTGCCAGTCTAACTGTAGCTAACAGTTTAGGTGCGGGATTGTCAATCCCGTATAGATCTATACACAAGAATCACGCTCTCCCTACAAGAGATTATGGTATATAATACAGGACTTTAACTGCATACTTGAAAGTACGTGAAGTTGAATGTCTCACAAAGCTTAGTATCAAATAGATTTACGTATGAAAAGTCCATTTGTTCTTGTATATGAAAGTATTTCCTTGATATAGTATCTATAGTATGTAAAAATCTCATGAATATCTAGTAAACTATACCTATTATAGTTTTTCCAAAAGTGTGTTTCGTTTGTATGATAAACCCTAGTGTAGTGCCGACTTTGTATGTAAAATATCTATGTAAACGTATCTCTGTAATTGTCTCTCTTCATATAGTATGTAATGTATTAGTATAGACTCATGAATGAACTGACTCTTGTGTAGTTCCTTGTACTTGGAATGGTAAGTAGTATCTCCTAACTATACCTATTATAGTTACTAGTAATGTACATGTATAACCGAAAGTGTGCCTTTGCTACCCAAAGGTACTGAACTGACTGATGGAACTTTTATGTCTATATATGTATACATGATATATAACTAATATTTAGACGACATTCGGACGAATAACCGATGCCCTAAGGCCACATCCCAACGAGGAAAAGGAAATAAAGCGAGCTAGCCGTCCTAAGTCCTTTAAACATTTCTTATATAACTATACATACATAGGCATGCATTTGACAATATAAAAGTATAAAAGAAGTTTTGTAAAACCTTTCGAAAAGTTTAATAACTAAGAATTGATGACTTGATGTCAGTTTATAAAACGATTTGAAAGTAGTTTGTTTGATAAGACAGTTTTAAGTATAAGAAAACCTTTGTTAGAAACACAATTGTAACAGAATTTGAAAGGAAAGATTTAGTAAATAAAACAAGTTTGATAAAGAGTTCAACATGTAAAAACGTTTTACATGTCATTTGGAAGTAGTATACTGAGTAAACAGCTAAAAGTGTAGCAAATCCATTTGTATACTAGTTATAAATCACATAAGATTGATTAAATAACAATATAGAATACATAACAAAGGATATATATTTTCACACGATAATAACCGGGTGTTTACTTGTATTCCCCCCCTTAAAAGTATTTAAAAAGCATTTAAAATGTATTTAAAGTGTGTTTGTAGGGGTATGAACTCACTTGATAGATTGAAGAAGGTGAGACGAAAACCGAGCAGAACTTCGACTAGAAAAGCTGATTTATTCCTCGGGAACTTCGGGGTGTCGGGCCTTGCGTCGTGTACTAGGGGTGTACCGGGACTTTCGGGTGGTTTAGAGGGGCTTTAGAGGGGTTCCAAGGTGAAAGAAATGAGTCAGGAAGCAAATAAACTCGGGCAGCCTCGCATGTTATTTATAGGGTGCTGAAAGAGGGATTACGCTGGGCGTAATTTCGGAGTACGTTGGGCGTACTCGTTACGCTGGGCGTACTTCGGTTACGCTGGGCGTTCGCATGCGTCATGGCTTACCGCATCCTCGGACGGAGCATTGGAGCGGCGTGGACGAACCGAGGCCTAGCACCCGAGTACGCTGGGCGTACGAGGGTACGCTGGGCGTAAATCGTCTTGGTGTGTGTGCCTCGAACTTGTAAAATCCGTAACTTTCGCATACGAGCTTCGTTTCTGACGTTCTTTATATGCACGCATAGGTGAGAATGTACTCTACAACTCTCGTTTAGACTTCGTTGGCAAATTTTGACTTTATTTTTAACTATATATTTTTAATAGGCCGGGACACGAAAAGTCTGTTTAAAATCCATAACTTCTTCATCCGATGTCCATTTCTGTCAGACTTTTTACCGTTGTGCTACCATTGACGAGATATTCGATTCTCGTTTAGGTTGTGTCGGCCACAAATCACTCGATCACTGTTTCGAGTTTTTAGCTGTCTACTGCCACTTCGAAACTTAGGAAAAATCATAACTTCCCTATACGAAGTCAGATTTGGACGATCTTTTTATGTATGTTTACGGTTTAACGTAATCTACGACTTTTGTTCAGACACCTAAGGCTAATAATTATTGTATTGAAACTTCGCGTTTTACGTTTACCAGCATTGCCGGTTTTTGCCGCGAATCTTAGATTGGTCATAACTTCTTCGTTATAACTCGGTTTTTAGTGTTCTTTATATTTCTGAAACCCTTGAAACAATATCTATCATTTAGACAACCCAGTTGAAACTTTTTGAACATTTTATTGTCGAAGATATTTTATTTACTTAAAACGGGTTACAAGGTTCGACTGGAATTCGTTATATTGGCTTGAAATTTCAGGTTGTCACATGTTACTTACAAGAATTGATAACAAAGAAAATGAAACCAAATATGATCAGACTTGCATTTTCTTGCATAACTAAAAAGAAGAAAAGTTATAAGAGTTCAAATACCTTTGTGAAAACTGAAACCGTTGTCAAAATACCACTGAATTCAATATCTATTCTTCCTTAAAACCTTTGTGAATCAATTTTAAGTAAAAGAAAATTAAAAATGGACCAAAATTACCTTTATAGTTACAGACAACTTCGACTGGATTTTCTACAACTGATGATAAATGATGAAACATTGTAAAACATTTAAACGAACGTTTGTTAGTAAGATACCAATACACAGATAAGTGCACACAAACTGACTGCATGTAAGTGTTCGCCAAAAAGGAAGTTTTCAAACTTCTGAAATCGATTACCAAAGATACGCTTTAAATCCTGATTGAAGAAAGTGAAGCAATAATCAAGTAATCTGAATCAAAGTCGCAACTCATGATGACTGAAAATTAGTAATTAACAAAATTGACCTGAGGAAAAAGCTGGGACGTTTCCGATAGACCTTTCACCCAAAAATGTCGATTGACAAAAGTTTTATGTAGGTTGTGGTACCATCAACATATCCTATGTAAATCCACATCTGATTTCGCATCAAGCGACGTGCGGTGGTGACTGAAACTGGAGCGGATGCTGGTGCCGACTTCACACCTAAACTCTAGAGAGAGAGAGAGAGAGGTTGCTGAATGAAGTGAGTAGTGACTTCAAGTTGTGTATCTTCTTGGCTGAAGAAACATGGGAACGAGGAGTTTTCAATGCGAGTCAATTTGTATTGGAGGAGGAGGGCGGCAAGGCGGGCACCAAAACGGCTAAGATGGAAAGGAAAAAAGAGAAGAGCTGGGGCGCTTTTATGAAAAGGAAAACTTGAATGGAAGAAGAAGAAAGAGAAAAAACTTTCATGTAGCCCAAGCTTTTAAGCTTTTATGTATATATAAATGGTACACAATAAATGATTTCAGCAACAATATAAATCCAAAGTGGGACCTTTAACATATATAATTGAGTTTTCATCTAATGTAGGCCACATAAAACTTAGATGTCATTACAATATTTAATAGGACACCTAACTAAATACATGTTTCATCAGTTTTTTGGCATAAATAAATAAAGTAATTAATAATTATCAAAATATGTGCCCGACAAAATATTAGATTCCCTAACAAAAGATGCCCAAAACAAAAGTTGCCCCCTACACTTTCTCATCGGCTGTAAGAGGATTTTCAAGACTTCCCCATTCATCAGTCTTGGTCAACACCTTCCTCTTCAACCTAAGTTTTGTGTTCCTCTGAGAAGGACCACACTTTCTCCTTTCAAAGTAGGAGCAACCAAATGTCGATTCCCAATATTCACCAAATCAATCACGCCTCCAACATCACCCACTTCTATATCATCCACTTGTTCATCACCCACTTCTAAATCAGCAACACATGCATGTCCCTCACCACCATCCTCAGCAACCCCATGTTCCTCACCAACTTTTACATCACCTCCAACATCCTTATGAGCCCCATATCCCTCACCTACTTCTCCATCACCTCCAACCTCCACAACATCCCTATGTCCCTCACCTACTTCTGCATCAAATAGGACGTGGTAATCAAGTAGATTTGCATATTCAACTGCATTAATCTGGTTGAGTGGACATTTCCTATTGTTATGACCTTTTTGGGAACATAAATTGTATTTTGAAACGGTCCCTCTTTTGCTAACAGTGTGTCTGTCACTTCTCTTTGAATTACATTTCTTCCTGTTTATCTTTGGCCTACGATGAATTCTTCTACGTTTTGGTGGTAATATAGTATTACAATCATTTATTAGCCACATTTCAGATCCATTTATTGGCTTCACATTGTATATGTAGCAGCTTCCAAACATATGTATTATGTACCAAATTGCTACATACTGCTCTATATTTCCATTCAAACACAAGATTGCAGAAATAACATGGACACATGGTATACCTGTCACTTGCCATGATCTGCATCCACAAGTTCCTTTATGTAAGTCAATTGCATACACCTCATTCAACCACCTACTCTCATATTGATGAAAACCACTTGGAGTTACTCCCCAATACTTGTTATGAAATGTTACATACAAGTTAGTAATGATATATGTAGATATATGTATTTTAATTAAATATAGTTATATACCTCTGTACTTTATTTATCTCATCAATCTTCCTTCTAACTGAGGGACAAATCTCAAAGTTCCACTTCAGTCCCTTCCTTTTTGAGTAAACATCCTTTCCATGACATACACTCTAATATCTTCCAACGTCGTTATTATGGATTTTTTTCTAGCTTCCACAACTGTTGGATTAAAGGATCATGATATACCATTTTCAATTGCATCACTACCATTATCTTCCATAAACAATGCCCTAGACCATGTGTTTGGTTTTTTTTTCCATCGGGTGTTCATAAGCATGTATGTCAATTAACTTGATTTTCTTCGTTATTGCTTTAAATTTTGTTGTGGTTGTGGAATTAGCAGCACACCATAATAGTTTCATGTACCCAACTCCTGTGAATTTTCTCTTGAAGTTGGCATAAACATGCCTAACACATTGTTTATGCTCACATTCAGGAACTCTTTCTTTAACTGTCTCAATAAGTCCCTGTTAATTAACATTTCAATGGCATTATCATTTAAAAAAATATAAAAAATATTATTAAAATGTATCTTAGAAGCAGTTAACTACATTGTGTTGGTCAGAGATGATGGTTAGTCATCTACCTTGTCCCATTCCAATGTCTTCAAGCAATAGATCCAAAAAAACCATTTCCAAGTTGCCTTAGTTTCAACTGGAACAACATCACATGCTAGAGGATACATTTGGTTATTAGCATCCCTACCAACAGCTGACAGTACCTCACATCTACAAATACCCTTTAAAAAACATCCATCTACACCAATCACCCTTCTACACCCCTCAATCCAACCATCCTTCACAGCCTTCAAGCAAACATACATCTTTGAAAAATGGATTGTAGAGTCAGTCATGATATCCACATCTAATTTCACTGTCGAACCTGGATTAGCCCTCAATAGATCCAAACCATAACTCCTAAGATTTTCATAATGTGCCACCAAACTCCCTTCTATCTCATCCACTGCAAGAAAAAATTGCATCTCTACACTGACCAACACTAACTTGTAGATTAAAATCTCTAAGGATTGTTGCTTTCATTTTCTTGTAACTTATTATTGGATTATCTATTATGGTTTCCATTAAGTTTTTTCTAATCCAACTATATGTGACCATTGCACCTAAATTGAAGGCCCTACAACAGTTGTGTTCAGAGGTTAAGGACTTAATCTGAAATGATCTTTCTTTACTCATCCAAGTTGCCCACAATTTAAAAGGGCATTTAGAATTTTCTTCACCTTTGCAACATCTAACTGATAACCTATTTGAATCATTTCTTTCAGAACGCGGTTTATACCCATTAGAAACATCATAATTGCTTAACATGTGCTTAAGTTCAAAATGATCATAGAATTTCATACCTAAGATTGGTGCCATTGTATCCCATTTATGGTTAGGATCATGAACATGATACTTAGGAATATCTTACTTGACATCCTTCTTATCATCTACAACTCTTGGTGGCCTGAAAAAATTCGTCTAATGAAAGGATCATCAGATGTTGTATTTGTATATTTTCATCATCAAGTTCATGCTCCACAAACTCGTTATCTGAAAGTTCAAAGTCGACATCATCATCATCATCATCATCATCATCTGTATGACCATCTGACAATCCATCTCCAACTATCTCTTCTTCAATTCACTCCATAACTGCTTCCTGAGAGTTATCAATGTACAAATTAATCCTTCCCCCATTCTCATATCCAACATCAAGAAAACGTACGTAATCATTTTCATATTCAAAAGCTCTCAAACCATCTCTCATTGAACGTTGTGGAAGACAACAGTAGACAGTGATTCTTCCATCCTTTACCAACTTCTTTACATATGAGATGAACTCCATGAAACTCATGCTTCTGAAATCGACATTAATGCTAACAACCACTTTTACGGGATTGAAATAGACAATGGGTTTGGGGACAAAAGAACATGTATGATTAACTTCGATTGTCAAGTACTCCACTTGCGAGGTTGAATCCATTGTTTGTGTGATTTCTATGGAATGGAGGAACAGAGGAGAAGGATCAATTCCTAATTGTTTCAATTTGGGGGAAATAATGAAGGGGCAGACTCTAATAATCTCGTATATATTTTACTTTATAAGAAAAATAAAAACAATCGGCTAACCTACAATACATGGTAAAATGAGTTTTTTTACACTAAAAAATGAATAATGGTATTTTTTATATAGTTTTGAAACTTTCTTACCCTTTTAAGTCGTTTTTCCCAAGTAGGAATGACATTCGGGAGATAAATAATAAACAAAGATTTGAGGTTCGAATTTGTTGCATCGATGGCTACTCACCTTTCATGTTTTCGAATATCTTTGTGACATCTAAATATTTGAATGTTGTCAAATATGTACATGATATTGTAAAATAGTTCTTAAATTTTGATAGTGTCAAAAAAAAATCAATGGATTTTTTGAAAATAAAATATGATTCCAATGATTCTTACAAAATAAGTGAAAAAATAAAGTGAAATAATTAATTTATGGGATCCATAATTTTTTGTATGCAATAAAGGAATACAATAAGATTATATTTGTATGTAATGGAAAAAATAGATATGATAATTTTTCTTAAATATAAATGATATAGTAAAGCTACAGTAAAATACTGTTTTTTTAATCTAAACTATATGAAAGGTTATTGACATAAAAACTCTATGAAGTTTCACTTATGCCATTAATTGATCGCCCAACGTACTTTTTTACCCTCTTAGATCATTTAATTTAGATTATACACTTTTTATTAATGGATTACGTTCAATCCCAAATCTTTGTCATTAATCCCCCGTTTCAGTAAATACGACGGGGACCAAAAATAAGACCACAAGTATGCTAACTTGGATGACAACTCAACTTGTATTTAAGGCAAGGGTGTCTTGAGACCAAATTCACACTTGTTTCCCCTTTTACGATCAAACCTCTTAAACTACTATGTCTTCTTTAAGATTATCATGTCAAGTAGCAAATGATCTGAAAGAACCCCTTTCTAAACTTTCATATTTCTGAAAGACCCAAACTTTCATACTTGACAATTGTTACTTCAAAACATGCTACATGCATATTCATAAAAACAATATTTTACATTGATAATTTGATTACAAAAGACTGGATACAAACCGACTAAGTTTTAGTATATTACATAACTACCCAGGATATTTAAGCTTTTATACATACGTAAACCCAAGTACAAAAGTAATTGTATAAACTATTCTAAATCTTCCAACAGTATATGACTATACTGGATTCTTATTACCTGCAATTGTTAAACACTGAGAGGGGTAAGCGGTGACGCTTAGTGAGTTCAATAATAAATACAATATAACGTTATGCCATATATATACTTCAATATGGCAAAAGCAAAGAGGAACAAGAAACAACAAAGGCATATGTGAATCATGTGACAAACTTTCCATATCAATCAATGATTTGATTCAAAGATATACGATCAATGAGACATGAGACATGACAACTTCTATACTTGATATTCATAAATAAAGCTTCGGCCCAAATGGCCCAGAAGACATACACTTTTTGATTTAAACATTTTGGTAGATTCCAGGCTGAAAACTCTGTCTAACCTTCTGCCAATACCATAGAATAGAAGTCATTCTCTTACGAGACATGCTCTACATGGTCAGAGGCTACATACCAGTATCACCGTGAATCTAAGTCCTTTCACTGATCACATGGTCAAAGGTATAACTTTGCTATCATAAATAGCGAAAATAATAACAACGGAAAAGCACATACCACATATAACACATAACATACAATTGTTCCTATATATTCAACTCACCGTGAAATAACCGGGGGTTAAAATAGTAATTTGTGCAGCACTTCGTTATAATTAATAGCTTTATTCGTTGAAAACCGGGAGCTTTATTGAAAATCGGACCCTGCGAGGGTTGAGCTTCAAACCGAAAAGATAAATTTCTCGAGTTTCTCGGGCACTTCGGGGCGTGTTCCGGGTGTTAAAAATGATATCGGGGCTTCGGGGGAAGTGGAAATAGTTAAAATATGAGTTTAAGGGTGAAAAGTGACAATTCCAACATTTACCCGGGAGGTCTCGCACCCTTATATAGGTGCGAGCCTCGGATCCGAAGCGAGAGGAAAGGGGGGCAGGTGGCGCGAGGCTCGGACACACGGCAGCAGGTGCGAGGCTCGGATGCGAGAAGGGCACGTGTCGGACCGGAAGCAGCACACGCGTCGGATGGTCTTCGGCTGAGTCATCGACGTCGGACACGGGGCGCGCCTGGAGCGGGTGACGTGGCTCGCATCAGATACGTGTCGCGCGAGGAGCGAGGGTGACGTGGCCTATCGGATGATGCGATATTCTCGGAATTTGTGCCAAAATCTTCTAAAATTCATAACTTTCGCATATGAGCTCCGTTTTTTACGTTCTTTATATGCACGCGTAGGCGAGAATATATTATACAACTTTCGTTTAGACTCCATCTGCTAATTTTGACTTTATTTTTAATATTATTATTTTTAACAGACCGGGACAGGAAAATCCGTTAAAAATTCATAATTTCTTCATCCGACGTCCGTTTTCGTCAGTCTTTTTACCGTTGTACTACAATTGGCGAGACCTTCGATTCTCGTTTAGGTTGTGTCGGCTAAATATAGCTCGATATTTATTTCGAGTTTTTAGCTGTCTACTGCTATTCCGAAACTTAGAAAAATCATAACTTCCTCATACGAAGTCAGATTTTGGCGTTCTTTTTATCAAAATTATCGGTTTAACAAATACTACGACTTTCATTTAGATTACTAAGGATAAAACGTAGTTTATCAAAAACTCATTTTTTACGTCATTCGGCGCCGTGCCGGTTTTGTCGCGGATCTTCGATTGGTCATAACTTCTTCGTTATAATTCGGATTTCGATGAGGTTTTCGCCTAAATGTTTCTAACGAGATTTTTTTACAACTTTCAATAATAAAATTTTACTTATTTCAAATTTTATATTTTCGTTAAAATTAAATATTTGCCTTTTGTTTGGAATCTCATAAGACTTCCAAAACATTCTAGATGATTTTGAACATAGTTTTACTTCATTTATAGTAAAAACTATATGTTAGAACTCAATACTCATAATTATATAATATTTCATAAAATTATTCACTTTTAAAATTACATAACACGATAACTGAACGTGTATGTTACATGATCTCGTCGATGACCTTGTACCAAACGAGCCCTGTTGTTGTAAAGTTAAACGTCTTGCAAAGTTTTCGCGAGTATTGGAGCCGCGAAAACCCTGTGGGAATACTTTACAATCATGTGAAATCGTTGGTTAGTGTCGACTACGTTTTTTTAATTGATTTTTGTTAACAAAGTGGTTTGTTTTTTGTAGAAAACCCTAAAATTGATTTTTGGTAGAAAACTGTAAAATCGGTCTTGTTATTGGTTTTCGTTTACAATGTGGTTTCGTTTAATTTGTATGAAATTTGGTAGATTATATTTGCGTATAATATATTTCGATTTTGGTAGAAAACCCTAAAAATCGCCAAAAAAGACATGATTTGGTGAGAAAACCCTAATCGTTGGTATATATGATTGTGTTGTAGTATATGAATATCGAGATAGGTTCAGGTGTTTAATGTATCTATTGTGTTATTGTATGCATAAATGTGGGCCAATCAAAATTAAATAAAAATTTAAATAATTAAATAAATAAACAAGGATATTTAGTAATTTGATAAATAGCTTCCACAAATAGTCCTATATATCATGCTAGCATTCAATTTTAACCTAATTTATTTTCTTATATACAACCGTCATCCATTTGCGAGGTGGTCGTCTCCGGTTGAAGACCCCTTCGGCCTTCGTTGTTGATACCCAATCTCCTCCTTCGATTTCTGCATTTGATTTCTTCCCTTTATCTTAATTGAGAAAACCCACGAACCACCCCAATATACATTCGATTTCCCCCAATTGTTTCTCGGTCGAACACTACCGTTGTTCCTGCTTCCTTCAACCTTGCAGATGTTGGTGACGAAGGAGAAAAACCGACGAAGGGCACGCCGGAATTAGCAGCTCCCCCTCCCTCTTACTACCGACCAACCACCAATGGAGCTTCCTCTATCTCGTTGTGCACTTTCGATTCCGTACATCCTCTTTCCTATCTATCACCCTCATGTCTCGTATCACCATCACATGCTTGCAATCGCCCTGATGACAGTAAATATATCCAGCCCCAAGTCGGAAATTTAGGTCACAAAAACGTGATCCCTGCATCGGAAGAGCTTTGAATCGAGGTAACTTTGGTCCACTTCCACTTACACTCCCTAAAATTTGCTTCTGTTTCTGATGCAGTTCACCAGATATGATCGATCCCCATTTTTCTGTTGTTGTGAACTTACTGCTCAAGTCATCTGCTAATCTGTTCCTTTGCTCAAGGAAGAATTTGTTGGATTAATGTCTAAGTCCATAACTATATTTGGTATGTACTTGACCCGACCCGGCATGGTCCATTTGGGTTGCACTTCACCGACACAATTTATATGGATAGTCTTTTTGAGAATAGTATATTTATGATTTATATTAATATATTATAAGTTCTAATATATTAATATTAATCATATTATTTAATTAGTATTGATCAATAATTAAGTTATAATTAATTAAGTGATCAAAAGGAACTAATTAAATATGGACTCTTAGATATATATATATATATATATATTAATATATAATATATAATATATATATATATATATTATATATATCTATATATATACGTAGTGGGCCAAGTTCATTTAGGTTGGGCTAAGTCTTCATGGATAGTCCATGGAGCTTTAACACATGGATCATAGGAAATGAAAGGTCATGGGTATTAGGGTTTAACCCTAATCCTCCACACTATATAAAGGGTCTTATGGTTCATGAAATTATGTTAGTGGCTAGTGTGGATACACTAAAGAGAGCAATAACCGATTTCATAGTGTGAGCCAAGTATCCATATTCT